ATACACCATTCAAATTATTTGATTGGCATCACATTGGCCAATGATTTGGCCTTAAATTTCCCAAAATTTCCTTGAATTTCCTTTTTAGGGAATTTTGGGGTCAAAATTTTCTTGAAATTTGAAAAAGGAAACGCTATTCAGTCTCTGGAAGTTGTGCGCGCATGTTCCGTGAAAGAAAGGTGTGCACTTTTTCATATATTTTCAACTAAAATGCACGCATTTTTGGTTGAAAAGCGCGCAATGTGTAAAAAATGTGCGCGGAATATGTTCCGCGCGCACGACAAAGAATGCAGTCTGGCATGATTGCATCTCGGATTGCATGGTGACTTCGAATCACTGACATGGTGAGTTGGTGTCGTGTACATATGTGTGACTCTAGGATTCAAGGGAAAAATGCTATGCTAATGGATTTACCGAAGAAAAATGAGTCCTACAAGCTTAAGGAATACTGGGATGAACGTTTCGCTGAAGAAGACAATTTTGAATGGTGTAAAAGTTACTGTGATTTTAAACACTTAATGATCCAACACGTGAGAAAGAATGATAGAATTTTAATGTTAGGATGTGGTACTAGTAGACTGAGTGAAGATCTGTATCTTGATGGATATAAGAATATTGTAAATATCGACTATTCCCCAGTTGTTATTGAGAAAATGAAACAAAAGCATCAAAATTTTGTTGAGATGCAATATTTGGTCATGGACATCACAAAAATGACTTTTGACAAGAAATCATTTGACGTTGTTATAGAGAAGGGAACTTTAGATGCTTTACTGGTAGATGAGAAACATTTATGGAACCCATCAGAACATAGTCGCAAGATTATGCATGCTGTTCTTTTTCAGGTATTTGAAGCACTTAGATGACCACAGGCAGCCCAACAGCAAACTGTCTGTGGCAATGTAGGTAGTGCCTATTTGTAATACCCTCACCCAATAGCTAAGCCTGCTATGTACAGGCAATATCATTGCATACCATTGAAATGAATATAACTGGAAATATGCTACCTCCAACCAGAACTTTGAAGAGTGTGTGCATGAGAAGACTCAATTAAGACTGCTCAATCAGTCAATCTTGATAATAAACATGCAGGTCTTGACCCCTAGACATGCGTGTCGTGGTGAAAATCCATTCCGTCCTGACAGGGTCCTGCACATTGTCCCAGTGATTTTGTCAGCAATTTCCTCTTCCTGACAGATGTACATATCACTTGGAAGACTTCCAGTATATATTCCTAAGTCTTTTGCCTGTCACTCATTTGCCTGGACAAGAAAAATTGCTAACAAAATTGCTTGTGTGAACTAAGCTTAGTCAAATTCTACAGAATTAAGTTTAAATTTCAACTATATTAATTGCTTGTGCACATGCAACCCATTGTTTGTTAGATATCACATATATAAGTCACATTGTACCCTGACGCAGAGGTGGATTTATAGGGGGTGCACGGGGGGTGCACCCCGTTGGCCTTGGTCAACAGGGGTGCAAGGTGGGTGCAAAAAAATCAAATTCAGAAATATGGCATGATTTCCAAGGTTTTTCCTTTTTTGAAGTCAAACTGAAGTTCATAATTCAATTCTAGGGTTCTAATTTTCAAAATTTCCCGGGGGCATACCCTCTAGGGAGCATGCGCCTTCGGCACTCAAGTCGTTAGGAAGCCAATTCATTGGAATGCTCTCCCACCGCCCCCTAAAGAATTATAAAGAAACACTCAGCTGCTCACCCAGCACCCCCCTAGAAAAACCTTGCTGGATCCACCCCTGCCCTGATGGAAATTTAACTTGTCAAGAAGAGTCTGAGCACTGATGCTCAATGGGTTATCTATCCATGTGTCTAGTTGACCCATGAAGTTGCATTGCAACCTAATGTGCCCGACTTTGTTATATGTTATTATTTGACTTGTCAAGGAGAGAGCGCTGACACACAATCAATGTTAAGGGATGGGATTTGATTTTGATAACTAAAGTCACTCTATAATCACCGATAGCTTATTTTCAATTTTTTGGTGCCAAGTTTGTGACGTAATTTACCCGCCAAAAAGTAGCAATTCCAAAAACAAAAAACATACGATTTGTGTAAAGAATGATATGTTCCTTCACCGTCACGTGTGTATTATATTTTTGCCATGTCCACGAATAGCAATTTTCAGTTTACCTTATTGTTTGAGTCATGGATCTATAGGTAACTTTCCTAAAACATTGCTATTGGTTAGTCGGGCAAAAATACAATACGCACATGACGGTAAAAGATCAGATTTATGAATGTTCTTGTTCACTAACATAGATAATGAGTTATATTGAATTAATTTGTTATTCTAATGAGTTTCCAAACCATCTATTCTATTAACTACCGTGGGAGTGAACACTCCAGGACCCTGCTGGAC